ATAGATATGTACTGCATATAATTTAATCAATGCTGCATACAATTATGCCTCCAGATACGCAGTGACAGTAGCTAACAATCTTTGATATTACAAGCTTTGTGCTTAAGGTCAAAAAAACTACACAAAGCTTCTAAGAAAGAAAATTATGTTAAGACTGCTAACATTTTAACAGATTTCCACTTTCAGTTATCAACTACTGACTGTCAAAAATGCAACAAATCCATGGTAATTGCATTGACATTTAAAGGTGCAGTATGTAAGTTCGACACCCAGGGGTTAAACTAGGTATTACATTCCTGCATGAAAACAAACGCAAGCACAGGTTGCCAGATTAAGGAGCGAGTCTGATGATTGATCAAAGTAGTTTTATAACTTAAAGCAGCTGCACATGATAGAAGGAATACTTTCCATATTAAAGTTTTTGTCAGTTTTGTTAATTAGTCTTTGTTCTACCAACACCTTGAATTGACATATTAGAAACGACTTCTATTTCTTACAGCTGAATAACAGGATAAATTGTAATCAGGTACACCTCATGTGCTTTATTCTGTGTTACATGCTAATAATGTGAGTTTGAATGCCGTTTCACATTACTTTTATTGCCATACTGAAAGCAGCAGCAAATAGTTCACCTCAGATCTTGAAAATAAACTAAACCATTTGAAATTGAACTTTAGAACTGTGAAATAACAACACATACTGTATCAGTGATTCAGCATGTACATTTAATAATGTTAAAGAGGTTTAATATGTATTAATTAGGTTATAAACTATACCATTTTGTGAGTGGGTGCATATTCTGTGCTTCTGAATGGCTGTTTAAATTTCTGTCGTGTTTTGCTGCAAACAGCCAAATTGCTTATCACTGCAAATCTCTTTATGTAGGGTGTTGTTAGGACACAAGGTTTACAATTTAGCTTGGTCAATTAATGTTTACATTCGTAATATTTATATTATTTGCTAATTAATAACCACCTCATGTGGAACTCTGAATCTGCATCTCATTTCGGTGTCTGCCACTGTCCACCAGAAGTCGCATTTCGGTTACTGACACACACTTTGAGAGCCATTCTAAATGAATGAGTGAATGAGTGAATGAAATATAATTGGCTATACTGCCATTAGGCGAGTTAAAATAACCAAAACAAAGACAGCCATTCTGGCACAAAAAACACATTTTCAAATCAGAATATCTGACTTCAACATTGTTTTTCAGATAAACAAGAATCAAGAATTTACTTGACATGTTTCTTAAATATCTGCAAACATATTATGGTATGTTAATGCTTTGAAAGAGTCATAAACTTACATACAGTATCTCTAAAGACCATCTTTTATAGTGAAATATACAGACTTTAACTTGCTAATTTCAAGTTACTTAATTGAAATTATGTCAATGTTTGTTTGGATTTCTAGAAGTGATTTTCATTTAAAAGGGAGACTCAACTTCAGCTGTTTTTACTAAAGAGAAAATTATAATACAATTAGAATAAAAAGAAGAAATATTTTCATGAAACAAATGTGACAATAGAGTGCTGATGAGTCTAGGTTGCGAATGTTTGTGTCACTCTCTTTTGCTCTGCAGAGGAAAGATGGCCATTGAGCGGTTATAGTTTTATTGCTCATCTCTTGTGCTGCTCTCCTCCCTGGGGAGTCGCCATTATTGTGGCAAAAATGGGACCAACACATTCGACAGTGAACTCACATGCAACCCAATGTGCTCCTCTCCATCATTTTCACCCGCACATGCATGCAGCCATCCTTCTCCTCCTCTCACTGTAAACGCAAACACACACACACACACACAGAGCCTTTTAACACTGGGAAATAGGAACAGGATGTCCTTTGGCACTTGCCAATTGCTTTAAACCACACATAAAAATTCAGCCAGAAACAAATTTAGACTTATTTATAGAGCAAAGGTTTGAGGAAACGTGTCCATAGGGAGCAATCACAAACCCCGATTCTGTGTGAAAAGTGCAATGTGTCGCCCTGGAAGTATTAAAAACAGCTGGAGAGGGCCGATGCAAGCATTTCTTGCTGGAAAGCCAGAGATGTGTGTATGGATGGACAGAAATGATGCACAGTAGATCCATTTCAAAATCCATGCAGTGCCTTTGCAGAAATCAGTTTATTTATATGTTATTTATTGACTTTTTTTTTTATATGCACACAATATGAAGAGCCATACACAGAAATAACCATTTACTTTTTTCTTTACAAGTATATTTTCTGTTTCGTTCATTTACAAACACACACACACACACACACACTCATTCTCACTGAGACCTTTAATTACAGATGGTTTTATCGGTCCTTTTATGATTTGTACTCTTGGTTTGTCTTTTGCTCCTTTCTTGACTCCATTTCATGGCATTGTTACATCACTTTAGTCTCTTTCCTTCGTTCTTTGTTCAGTCTGTTAGCTTTTGTTCAGGGGATCAGTACGATAGCAATGCACTGGAAAAACGTTATCGACAGCTGAATAGGGAGCATGTTTAACTCCGAAGCAAATGATGATGGAGAAAAGGGTCTGATTGCGTTGTAATTTCACAGAATGAGAGTAGGGGGAATTTAGAGGTGAGAGAAAAAAAAGTACAAGAGAAAATACAATACAAAGACACAAACCTACAGAGGCAACTTTGCAGTTAAAGTGGTCGGAAACTTAGAAGGAACTCCAGAGATTGGGATGGGCACTCACTTGTGTCCATTTAAGAGTCTTGACAACATCCTGTGATGTTGCTTTTACAGTCATCTTCCTGTAGATTTTCCAAAGTAATGTGCTCGTTATTCACTGGTGTAGATTTAATGGATTTTTTAAACTCCACAGCTTGCAGACCAGAAGTTAAAACAAAGAGTCCATTCGAGTGACTGTAGTCTCTTTCAATCCCAGTCACATGACTACTGACATTATCAGGACATTTCGAGGATCTTTTTCTATCAAACATTTGTGTGCTTCTGCTGATTTCCCGTAAGAAAACATTTCACATGCGCTAAAAGTCTCTAAAACATACACACTGTACATGAAATCTACACATATCTTAAAGCTCTTGGTACAGTTATAAAGTACAACTCAAAATGGCAAAATCCATGAATTGTCAATGTTTTTACCTGCACTTGCACATGTTCATTCACAAGTCTGCATCAACATTTGTCATTACATGTAAAAACAAAACAAATAAACAAAGGGAGGAAACTAGACTTTTTTGGTAGTTGTGAAATGTGTAAATCTCTTTTTCTCAATTCAAAATTACAGTTTAAAAATATTAAACATAAACCATCATTATAATGCAGAAAACTAATGAAAAAGCGATGAAAAAATAAAGGACCACTTGAAAATTCTCAGCTTCTCTGGATTTACAATTGATACTTGTTTCATGTTTAAGCAAACCCAATTTTTCTTTTATTCTGAAAACTGCTGATGGCATTTCCCAGCAGACACAATGTCATAAGACATTAATATTAGGTTAGATTTAGGTCGCCAGAATCTAAAGACAACGTTATTTTGACGTCCAATAACGACATCAAATGACATTAATATTTGGTTGATTTTAGGTTGTGTTGGAAAGTGACCAAAATCCAACGTTGAGCAAAAATCTTAAACCAACATCATATTGACATTTATTCATCAGGTATGGCAACCAAAATCCAACATAGACGTCATAGTGGTAACGTTCACACAACGTCAAGCTGTAACATCATTAGATGTTGACATTTTGTTGTTTTTAGGTTGCATTGGAAAATAACCAAAACGCAATGTCTATCTAATGTTGGACACTGATGTCAGCCTGATGTTGGGTTCTGACGTCAACCTGATTTTCATTTCTAAACAAAATGCAATGTTCACGATGTTGGTGTACAAAGTCAATCTAACGTCATATTGACGTCCTATTCCTGCTGAGTTGTTATGACCTGTAGTTTTTGTTTGCATCATTTCGATCTATATGGTATCTTGTTTCTTCTGAAAGCCGACCCCCCCCCCCAACCCCCCCACCCCCACCCCCCGCCTTTTTTTTCCCCCCTTCTCTCTCTTTGTTCTAGATGGGCATGGCCAGTAAATAATAAATAGATGTGATAATTGGTCCAGCATCATGACTCCAGCTAAACTGGCTAAACTCCAGCTCCAGGGGTCACCAGTGTCTTACATATTTTAACTCCAAACCTATTTAAACACACCTGAACAAGCTAATCAAGGTCTTACTAGGTATACTTGAAACATCCAGGCAGGTGTGTTGAGGCAAGTTGGAGCTAAACCCTGCAGGGACAACAGCCGTCCAGTACCGAGATTGGTGCTTCCTGCTCTATGCCTTCCCTCACACAATCGTTTCATTTAATACATTTTCTTACTCACAACAACCAACCCATTTTCTGTTACAACATCCAGGGATAAACCATAACAGAAATAAAAGAAGTTTATTGTTAGTGAGAAAAAAATATGAAACTAAATGATTGTGTGAAGAATGTGTCGAACCAAAGAGATATGGCAAAAATGAAAGTATTTATTGGTTTGTTGAGAATCACTTCAGGGACAGACAAGGCCAAAATAATAAACAAAACATGTCTTTTGTTTCCCTAACAAAAAACAATATAAATACATGAAAAGTCCTCATGTCCTCTACTTTTCTTATTTACTCCCAGGGCCATTTATATTCATTCATTCATTTTCTTGTCAGCTTAGTCCCTTTATTAATCCGGGGTCGCCACAGCGGAATGAACCGCCAACTTATCCAGCAAGTATTTACGCAGCGGATGCCCTTTCAGCCGCAACCCATCTCTGGAAAACATCCACACACACGCTCATACACTACAGACAAATTAGCCTACCCAATTCACCTGTACCGCATGTCTTTGGACTGTGGGGGAAACCGGAGCACCCGGAGGGAACTCACGCGCAGGCAGGGAGAACATGCAAACTCCACACAGAAACGGCAACTGAGCCTAGGTTCGAACCAGCGACCTTCTTGCTGTGAGGCGACAGCACTACCTACTGCGCCACTGCCTCGCTCAGGCCATTTATATCGAAGTTGTTATTTAGCCGCATCATGTTGGTGTTTTGTAACATCTAATTTTTACGAGGTGGGTCATTAGCTCAATGCTCAACCTTCAACCTGGCGGACCAGAACATACACACATACACTACGGACAATTTGACTAATCCAATTCACCAATAGTGCATGTTTTTGTACTTGTTGGGGAAACTGGAGCACCCAGTGAAAACTTATGTGAACACGTGGAAAACATGCAAACTACACATAGAAACCTCAACTGACCCAGCTGAGGATCGAACTAGCAACCTTCTTGCTATGAGGTGACAATGCTACCCACTGCTACTATGTCGCCCTCTCTACTTTTCTTGAAGTGACAAAAACAAAGTTTTCCTAAACTTAATGTAATGCATAATCCCGAATCACAAATCTTAATCAAGGTCTTTAAACAGGCAGAGGTCAAAACGGGGAATTCTCAAAACTAACAAATAGAACAACTATATCTTTCTAATTGAAACACAAACCAGCAATCAAATTAACAACACATAGTAATATGATTATAGCAAACGATTTAAATTCAAGTAACGGCGATGGCACAAAGTGGCAACAGAGTGAAGGCTTAGAGGGCCTTTACATCTGGAGTAATGCTGCTGGACCAATCACCACATCCATGTTATATTCACTGACCATGCCCATCTAGAACGAAGAAAGTGAAAGACAGAGAGGGAAAAAAATAATTTTGAAATATCACAGAGATCAAAATGATCCAAAAAACAAAACAAAACTACAGGTCATAACACATTTCTTCCAAATTTAGATATGTCTAAATTTTAACATAATTTACAGCATAAAAAAGCTGCCATGTTTTCAGACGTGTAAGTACTTATTTTTTATACAAAACAATACCAATATTTTACCTTAGAAAGGTTAGGAAATCAATATTTGGTTAAAAAAAAGCTTTCAATCACAACAACTGAAAATGCCTTCATTTCAAATTCAAATGATTTGTTAACATTTTACATAAACCCACACCTAATCCAGTAAATCCAGGATCAAAACGAGAATTTGGGCAGATTTTTTTTTCAGAGCTGTAGGTAGCAAGGATGGATTATGAAACAGAATTGGAAAGAACAGAAGCAGGAGAAAAGGAAAAAGTCAGAAAAGAGCAAGAAAAGAGAACAATGAGCTGCGTAATTGTACTAAATGACACGTTGACCTTTTCCACTTCCTCAGGAGAGCAAAGAAAACAAACCAAAGGAATGAGAGGTGAGAACAAATGAGAAGAAGACCAGGAGGGAAAAAAAAGAAAGGGCAAGAGATGAAGGCAGACACTTGAACATGAGGGGAAAGAAGAGCGGCATTCTCATTCTAGATGTCTGACCTTTGGAGAGTGAACTAGAGAGAGAGAGAGAGAGAGAGAGAGAGAGAGAGAGAGAGAGAGAGAGAGAGAGAGAGAGAGAGAGAGAGAGAGAGAGAGGGCAGTGAATGTGCTGATATACATGTTAGCTTTCGCACATGAAACAGGGCAGGATGGCTCATTTAAATTAACATTACGACACAGGGTCTAAAGGCATGCGTGAACAATGACATGTATATGAGTGCTAGGTAAACACACTCAACGGGCTGAAAAAGAGATTCCCCAAAACACACTCCAACTTGTGCTGAGTCAGAATTTCACACTCGGGAAAAAGACGAGACAATACCACATTTCCCTTTCATCTCACTTCCACAAACACACACACACATAAACAGCCTCCATCTGCGTTTGTGCGAGATGAAGAGTCTGGCTGATGATCACTTGGCAATGGCGATCAAACAAAGTGGCCAATATGCTCACTAATGGCCTGTCAGACAGATGAGAGACAAACTCCCACAGAAACCTTTGCACTGATCTCCTCCCAGACTGCCTCTCGCTTTCATTCCCCTCCCCATTTTACACACTTTCTCCTTTTATGCTAGCTTTCTTCTTCAAACATGAAAACTAAGTGGAGATTTGGCCTTGGCTTGTGTGTTCAAAGTATTAACTGTGTAATACGAGCGAGAATGCTGACAGAAGGAACCATTCTAATATTTCATTGTCGTACATGGTCTTCTCATAATGAATTCCCTAACCAGTGGCTGAGTACGCTGGACTCAGTGTCATTTCCATCAGAACCGAAGTGTGACTCACTGTAGTTGAGATCCCACGTTGGGGAGTGAAGAGACGTCAAGGCCTGATGATGAAGAGATTGTCAAATGGAGGGCAGGAGTTACAGCAAGGCCACACGATAGTGTGACTTTTCTGCCAAATTAATAAACAGGACAACAGAAAACTCTCTTTTTAGATCAGCAACAGCAAATGTTTATGTTGTTTCTCACATTGTAAATCCCATATAGAAGTCTTAAAAACATTTATTTGTACTTTTTTCACTTCCTCGGAAATTAAATATTAATTCCGACACATTTACTTGGTCTCTCTCTCATCGCGTGTTGGTCGAATCTTCATTTCTGTGAATTTTAGTGAGTACTGCCAGCCGGTCCAGGACGACCACTCGATGCCGTCGGCGTAAGAGGTGTGCTGCCCGCGCAGGTATTGCCCGTTCAGGTTGGAGGTGTGGCAGTTCCGGTACCACCAGGCACCATGGTAGAAAGAAGCGCAGTTATTCTCTGAATGATCGTTGTCTCTGTCTTTAGTTGTGAACTTCATTCCGTTATGCTTTAGTAATGAATCGCCTGCGTATATGTGCACACACAAAGAAAAAGAGCAGAAAGACAATTAAATAAAAATGTAGGTCAGATAGTTGTTTTTCATTAATACATTGATCAAAAGAAGCAGTAAAAATGTTTATCTAATTTTATTTAATTTATTCCAAGAGTTCACAGTTAGCTGATGATTGATTATAAAGCTTGTTTGGCATGCTGTCCCGGGAGAGAGCCCTGAGCTCATAAGATCCTCGAGCCTGGGGCTCCCTCCAGTTTGCAAGGCGAGAGGGGAGTTTGAGCTCTGGTAGATCTCGAGAACTCCCCTGCTGTAGTAGCTAATGAACAGTGATTGCTCCTAAAAAATAATTACTTACTAGAAGCATGTCTATGATGCTGATTTGGAATAGTCAATTAACTTAAATTGCATGTTTTTGGACGGTGGGAGGAAACCGGGGAACCCCACATGAACATGCGGAGAATGTGTACACTCCACAAAGAAACGTTGACTGGCTTGGTGAGGAATAGAACCAGTAAAGTTCTTGCTGTGAAGCAACAGTGCTAATCACTGGGCCACCGTAGCACCCATCTAGAAAAGAAGGAGGAGTAGGGGTGGAAGGGGGATTCTTCAAAACGAAGATGGCTTTTATAGGGAACCCAGGGAATTTATAGTGGCTTAGGAATCGGTAAATCATAAATTGGATAATGCAGGAGCAGCCGCAGGCAATCATAAGCACAAGATCCTCTTGAAATTAATTTATAAATAAACTTCATTTAATTTGTAATGTAAAAAAAATTGTAATATAAAAAAGCTTTTGTCTAAATGTTTATTAATAATATAGTAATATATCATTATTTTGTATTAAAACCTAAAGTTTGAGTTAAAAAACTGAGAAGTAATTAAAAAGCTGAGCACATCTTGGCAAAGAATACAACTGAACTATATTGAGAAAAATGATCAGAAAATAAATTAATTACCACAATAACATCAATACTCTGAAAACTCTTTGTGGATTTCACTTTTCATTATGTACAGTTAGGTTTGTATGCATGTACAGTTTGTATGCATTTATATGCTTATGAATGTCTGATGATCAGGTTAGATTACATGTGCTTCTATTGTTTGTTTCTGCTTATTGTTCACTTGTTCTGTATTATTTCAAAGAATGCAAAACTGTATAAACATGGAAACCCTGTCAGTGGTGTAGTGTCATAAAGAACAAATCTTGCCAATGGGAAGGGATGAGTTAAGATGAATATAAAGTAGGGCAAACCACTAAAATATCTACAGCATACAATAATTAAGAATATGGTTTATATAAGATTGCATGAGAATGCTTTGTTCATAACTACAGCAACTGTATAGACCCTCACAGTGTTTTGTTCCAGAATCATTACTGTTCTACAACTAAATCCCTCAACCGCCACTTCATTATGGAGTTGTGATGGAACTGATGATAAGAGACTGTTTTTTTCAAAAACAATTCTGAATGTTACTGTATAATTAGGCTGCGACAAAGCTGACTTGTGGTATTCTACAAATAACGTTGTGAAACTCATCACTGAAAGCCATTTCACACTAACGACTCCAGATGCCCAGGAACACAAGACAAGTTAGCATACAAAAGAAAACTCGTCTCATCTCTGTGGCCCAGATGAAAGCTTTTTCAGCATTTTACTCCACTTCTGTGTGATTAATGTATATGGAATTACAGTCTTTCCTATGCTTTGTTTCTGTCTCTCTCTGTCAGACTGTAATTCTTCAAAACATCACCTTTTTGCAACACTTTAAAAGTAGGAAAACTCACTCTGGGTTGAGTCCCTCCTCATCAGTGATATTTTAATAATTCTTTTTCAGTAACTCACACACAAACACAAGAATAGATGCTGCTCCATAATTAGCTGAACAAATGTGTGAAGTTATGCTTTTTCTAAAAGTGGTCTTGGACAGCTTAGTTGAATGAAACAAACTCAAAGTAGCTTGAGTCGAAAAAGTGCTGTGATTTGCTGTTGATATCAGAGGTAGACACACAGTTCATGAAACATATATTACCATGTGTCAAGTTCATTTTTATCTAACATTTTTTTTTGGCAAAGGCTTTACACTAAACAAATTGCCAGCCTTTCTAAATGTCAATGTATTTGAGTCACTTCATGTCACATTAGAAATTGTTATAAAAAAAGTATTTAATATAAATTTACTGAAACATTACAAATGTCTTTGCTTGACCAATTAAATGCATCCCTGCTAACAAATCAAACTTACTGTATTATTATAAACATCTGTGGTGATTTATACCACTTTACTGTGTGTGTCTATATAGTTCTGTGTAATAAAAACGGAAACACGGAAAAATTAATGAACACATGAAGAACGGGAGATGTAAAAAACATGGTAAGGCCAGACAGCAGCTGAAATCTCTCATTAATTAGAAAGCAGCCATGAGCCCTTGTCAGTGTAAATGAATATTAGCTGTTACAGCGATTAGGCATTTCAGAAAGACAATGACGGCAAATACAGCCAAGGAAACTCTCAACTGGTTTCAAAAAAGAAAAGAAAAAAATGGCCCACGCAATCACCTAAACTAAATCCAATAGAAAATTAGAACTAGAGTTAGGTTGCGTTCACACCAGACCTGGACGAAGTGTGGAGCACAAGTCATTAACATGTTAAGTCAATGCGAGTTTAGTGTTTTGCATGTTTGACACATATATCGCGCAAATCCCTCAGGTTGGAAAATCTGAACTTCAGTGGAAATTTACGCTGCGTTATCCAATCAGGAGCTTGCTCTTGTAGGAACGTGATTATGATGTAGTTGTTGGTGTACTAAGAGGGAAATCCTCTTGCCGACAATGGATAACAACTCATCAAAGTGGGCTTGGCTCAGTCTGAAGCACCACTGAACCGTCCATCATCCAGGTATAGTCTCTGGAGGAGTTAGTGCACCTCTAAAGGATCTAGTGGACACAGACACTGCACAGAACAAATCTACGCTGTTTTTCAGCCTTCCTAAAGCACATAAAGGCACAGGTACTACAGTATCTCAATAAAATCCATGTTAGCCAATTAGCAATGAAGCTAATGTCACCAGGCAGACAGAAGCCCTGCCCATGAATAAAATTTGATGCACGAATGAAGTAAATTTGATGCGTGAATAAATTGAGAAAAATAAAAATGTTGACACATTTGCTTATGTGCGTATAGCATGATTTAGTCACGTATGTCGTGTCTAATGTGAACATAGCATTAGGGTTCATGGATGAAACACAGAGAACAGTCAGGAGTTTTAGAATGTTGAAGTCTGTAAAAAAAAAAAAAAATCACACCTGAGCAAAGCATGCAACTCCATGAGTTAAGTCTATAAAAAATGTATCGTGAAGCTGTCATTACCAAAAAAAGTCTTTTATACAAAGTATTAAATGCATTTTATCAATTCGGTGATTTCTCCTTGAGCAACTCTATAATAAATTTTTCAGACGTTTAATGTGTATGTTTTTATTAAAACATTGTGTTTTTATTAAAATCTGGGTCAACAACTCCTTTAGAAATATTTTTATCAGAAAAATGTCATGTTCAATACTTTATTTACCCGCTGGTAAAAAAGTGGGTTATGACCATGGAATTATGTGGGTCACGGGGATAAACCAATTGACAACCACTTTACTAGTGCATATGACGACTTTCAGAGAGAGCAGAAAATTAAGGTAATAGTGAGAATAATCAGCCAAAATATTACTGAAATTAAATACGCTGCATGGAAGGAGCATAACATAATATTCAGTATTAAAAAGAAAATAATGGAACAGTAATATATTTTCCCTCCACTTATTTGCGTTTTTATACTTTTCATTTCCTTCATAATACATTTTCAAACCCCCCTGGTCCAAAGAACACAGTAGCCTCACACAGCATTTGCTTTACAAACAATTTCCAAAGTATTCAACTTATATTCACTTGTTTTGTGCGGCCAGGAAAGAGTGATGTCTTTCAGACCTAAAGTGTGGCAAGAACATAAAAAGAGTCAACCTGTGAGTCAATGACAATTTGACTTCAATGCCACCTTCCCTCTTGTAGTATCAGTCTCATCTGATGGCAACAGGTGCTGTTGAGCAACAGAAATACACCTTCCCCATTTCCGTGGCAGAAAGGAGAATTTGGAAAGCCATCGGGCCTGCTGTCCACTTTGCTGAATTTTTTGGCAGAAGAGCAGGATGGTGATGTGTTTACTGCCCTGTAAACTGTTATTGTAAGCTTAACACGGACACAGACTACATTCCAAACAAAAGCTGGAACACAGTGTTCCATGGAGATGGAGAGAGAAAGCAGAAAAAAGAAAGTGTACCAGGATGAGTACAATAGAGGTAAATGTCAGGTGGTATTTCCAAACCTCACTGGGATTCCTTCAGAACCCGTTTGTATTTAACCTTTTATCCAGCCTAAAATACAACAGATGATACGCAGAAGAGGATAACATTTGCGGAATGAAAGCGTTAAACCCCATTCCTATTCCTGAACAGCTCGTGACCTTGAAGATTTCCAGCTTTCTGATCCGCAGTCAGTTTTACACAATAACGTCAAAGACAATACAGCGAGAAACGGATCCCAGACCGGAGCTCAATTTCCCCCTGGAAGCACACGTCATTCAAGCTTGACAGATTTAGTCCGCAGCGATGGGAATAAGCCATTAGTCACACTAGGGTCGCATGAAGCCCATTGAAAATACTTGTATTGCTGCCGTTGACACTTCTGCATTAAGAGTGTTATAGCACAGACATGTCCTTGCAGACTCTCCCATTCGCTCACATACTCTTGGGAACACTTTTCATTTGTCAAGAGAATGTTATAATCTCAGAAAAGCTTCATGTGTTATTACCATGTGTGACTGTCTAAAAAAACACCGCACAAACATGCAACCTGCCCAAAACATAAGTCCACAAACATACATGGGCTACTTTTTGCTCACAAGCCAGCAAGAATAAGAAGTCACCTTGACACTGTTTGTGTTTTGAGACGTATTAGAGCCCACCAGACTGGACCAGAGCACAACTGCCTGTCAAAATTCAATGCAAATGATCACAATAATACTCTCAGTGCTGTGATTAGGGGAGACCTGTCAGGCAGAAAACAAGAAAGCCAGCAGCTCAAGGGCATGAAGACGCTGCCCAGCAGAGACCACCTGCTCACCTGACACCAGCGCTACAGACATGATCCAATTCAGGGCCGGATATACCTGCTGTACCGTCAGGAGATCTCTCACCCCTCTCTTTTATGCTCCCTCCATGCTGCATTTTCCTCAGCTCCAGCCCTCAAGTTCAAACTCGCAATGCTCTTTCTATTTCTGCTTATTTCGCGCCCTCTTGTTTCTTGTAGGACTCTGAGGGGCTTTCAAATTGTGTCTGTGTTCTTGACATTTGTCTTGACATCTTTGACATTTGTCTAGGTCAGTGGTGATAATTGACTGGAAGACATTTCATCTTCTGAATGCAGTGGTGGATTGAGAAACGTTTACACATGTAAAAAGAAGAGAAAGAGTAAAGAAGCATGTTTCTAGTTACTTTTGAGCATATAAATATATATATATTATTAATGAGAAAGGAACAGAGTAAAAAGTTTCTTTTTGTCTTTAATAAATCAGAAAATTAACACAGCAAATGAAGCAAAAGTGCCAACCTTTAACCCTCTGGGGTCTGAGGTGATTTTGGGGTCCCTAAGATGTTTTGACATGCCCTGACATTTGTGCTTATTTCAGCTACTTATTACATAGTATTGGGAAACATGTATTTTTATTTTGTATTCAGCACAAACTGGACTACAATAATTTGTGAGAAATACTGATGTGCATGCAATTAGGTAACACTTTATTTTGATGGTCCACTTGAGTATTAGCAAACTGTCTGCTTAATATTTGTTGATATGCTCCTTCAACAGACATTTAACTGACTATAAGAACCTTTCCAAGTAGATGTCAAATTACATTAACCCCAACACTGACCCCAACCTAACAGTCTATCTAATATCTAATGAGAATTATTTTGCATTTAGATGCAATGTAACTTACATTCAACAAACTGACCATCAAAATAAAGTGTGACCAAAAATTATGCATGGTTAGTAGGTTTTAGAGAAAAAAAAAAGTAGCCGAACAAAGGTTCAAAAAGCCAATTTAAATTGGCCTGAACAAGACTTTTGAGAAACCAGTCTTGAAGGCTAGAACATTTACTTCACAATTATGCAAAAAAATTTCTCTTCTCTCATTCAAGGAAAACATTGCAACATTTTACATTTTGCAAAGTCTGTTTTGTGTCAGCTCAGCTGTATGCGTGTGAGTGACTATGGTCATGAATAATTCACCTGGAGAGACAAAAGACACTCCCCCATTCACTAATGTTCACCCATCAAGGGCATTTTAAAGCAATGTCCAGCTGCAAAAGCTAGCCCAAACTAAATGCCTGTTGTTTTACTTGTTGCATTATGGCCATGTAAACACTATGGGTAAACAATGTATGTGCACTTAAACAGCATGCACAAAATATATTTGAAATAGTATAAAATGTGTTTGCAAAACTGTTGTAATAATAAATATTTCTTGTGCATCAATCCAGCATTTAATAATACTTTCTAAATGACTCCGAGACACAGAAGTAGCTTAATGACAAAAGCTTTAAACATAAGAATAAATAATATTTTAAACATGAAAAACTTTACATCAAAATAATATTTTAAGACCTTTTAGTTTGTGGAGAAAATAAAGAATGCAAACACTGTTTATTTTCCTTATTTTGCAAAAGCACACACTTTTGTTGTTATTTTGAGTGTACACAAAAACGTAGACACATAACAGATTCGATTGATGTATAATTATACAGATCTATCTGTATGATCAAAACTAAAAGTGTATTTTACGTTCTTTTTGGCGTCATCACGAGAAGACGCCTCAAACTGCGTATACAGTTAAATCTTTAAATCTACTCTTAAAAGTAAATCTACTTTTAAAAGTACACATTTACCCCAAGACCGTCAAATAGATGTAACAAAGTAAATAAAGTCATTTTTTTTACTGCCCACCCTTATCTGTGTGAGTTCACAGCTGTGAAAGCGGTTACAATTAAATGTAAAATAGTGCAATTTATTCAAAAGTTGCATAAAATTACTAAATTTGAATAAGCTAGGAGTCTTGAGTATCTTAAGCATTATGAAAAGCCACAAAATAACAAACAAAAAAAAAACACATCTATTGAGTTTTCCTTGCAGACCACATGGAAAATACAACACGATACACAACGTGACCAATGGGGTCTGATTTACAAATGATACTCATGAATATTATTCTTATGCAATCATCCCATCAAAGGATTGCTCATTATTGCACACTTTGAAATCATTCATTCCAAAGGGAGTGGAGTAGTCTGATTTATGAAACTGAATTTTGGGAATCTGTTCTGGTATCTAGCATTAGTGTTTGGTTGTGTGTTGATTTGCAAAGGGAGCATGATACAATTTGTGTTTTTTGGAGCTGTGGAGTGTTTACAGTTTCTTAAGTGCCATGAATATTCTGTGTATGCCATCAAGCGCTGAAATGGATCAATTATCTGAATGATTAAGCATTTAATAGTGTTGACAGAGATTTTATCTTCCTAACTGATTTGCATAGCGGGTTGTTCAAAGTTACTTTAATATAAAGCATGCGATTTCAACAAGGCATACTAATTTCAGGATATTCAAGATATTGACCCTTTATCTTTAGTTTTATGTATTTATTATGTAAATATGCATGTGTGTACCTGCAGTGCCAGTATAATCAGCAATGGTGAGGGGGTACCCGTCATCCTCTGGATCAACAGAGAACAGCCCAACTCCAAACACACCGTACTGTGCAAAAGCTGTGCTGTTCTCAAAGTCTTCCAGATCAATGCGCAGTTCATAGTTTCCTTGGATAGAGAGAGCATGGATCTGTTTCAACCCTGATGAGAGAGAGAGAAAAAAAGAGAGCAATTATTTTATTTATTATTTTCATTCATAAAAAGTGTAACTGGATTATGACAGTAACATTTATATTAGGACTGTATGAACGAGAATTAAGAAAAATGTTTGAATTAATTAACTGCACAGGTTTCTATAAATTATCATCAGCTTAAATCTATTTATACTCTGATTCCCCAAATGAATGCAGAATCAACAATAAAGTATATTTTAAATTATCTTAATTTAATTGTACCTTTACATCATTATGAAATGCTTTTTTTTAAAGCTATAAAGATTTAAATTTCACTGAAGAAATTTTTTCTAATTCAACATTTTATATATTCACATTGTGTCATGTCAGTCAATTCTATTTACTATCAATTTCTGGGCAAAATTAAGATTGCAAATACCAATTAAAACAAAGGTCTCATTTATGAGAAGTAAATTTGAACTAAATTACAACTGGTGCATACAAAATTGAGACTCTTTCCGCCTCATTCAATGTAAGACTTATTTTGAAAAGGAAAAGAAACCTGATAGTTTCCTTTAAAATGTAGGTAACTTCAGCCTTCATTTAATGTCAAAACACATTTCCATACTTTTCTATGGGTCCTTCTTTTGACAAATAAGTTTTATATAGTCATTGAATAGACTTACAATAATCACAACCCATTCATTCATTCTTTCATTCTTTAATTCATTCATTCATTCATTTATTTTCTTTTCAGCTTAGTGCCTTTATTAATCCGGGGTTGCCACAGCGGAATGAACTACCAACTTTTCCAGCACGTTTTACGCATCAGATGCCCTTCTAACCACAACCCATCTCTGGAAAACATCCACACACACACCTATTGACACACTTACAAAACGGACAATTTAGCCTACTCAATTCACCGGTACTGCATGTCTTTGGATTGAGGGGACCAGAGCTACCGGAGGAAACCCATGCAAACGCAGAGAGAACATGCAAACTCTACACAGAAATGCCAATTGACCCAGCCAAAGCTCGAACCAGCGACCTTTTTGCTGTGAGGCGACAACAATAACTACTGCGCCACTGCGTCGCCAATAATCACAACTTCCAGGATTAATTTCCTGTTATGCATAAACTTACAAAAACAAACAAGAAAAAAAACAACAACAACAAAACCCCAAAACAAAAACAAACACCCCAAATAAGTATAACATACAGTTATAAAAAACAACAACAACTCTTTAATTACAATACATGACTAAGGTTGGGACCTTTCTATGGACCCATAATTGCCTGTACACATGTTAGCTGTTAGTCCACCAATAAGTCCACACGTACATAATCTCTGGGATAAGATAGACCACAATATTCAAACAGCATAAACACAAAGTCACAGGAACTAAAAAGAAAAACCATAGTCTCAAGAAAGTGGAAAAACAGGCTGCATAAATGGTTACTTTTTCTTATATTTTTCTTACACATCAGATAACTGATCCCCAAAATTAACACATTTTTCCCATCCCACTATGAACGTGTGATTTGCTCACACTATCTGTGGCTTGCATAAAATAAATAAATAAATAAAATGCAGAAGCATCTATTATTATGCAAAGTGAATGCACACTTTCAAAATTTATACACGACTACTATGCATTAGGTCTTCCTGGAAAACAACAAGGTCTTAGGGGAGATTCGCTCTTTTCATATTTTGTTGTTTTTATATTACATTCAGCCCCATCAGCACCAGACAGTGAAAGTCTCGCAGCATTGTCCTCAAATATCAACACTTAGTTGAATTATTTAAATTAATTTGACATAAAGGACACCCTACCACCACAGACAATATTTTAATAAAATAGGTGCAATGAATGAAAACTGAAAAAGAATGAGAAACAGGAGTGCATTCAAAACCAAAACTCTTTCTGCCTTATTCAAAAAATAAAAAATATATAAAAGATTTATTTTTGAAAAGGATAAGAAACCTGCTACTTTCACTTGGAATTTACATAACTTTAATTCAAGCTTAATGAAAACCCTTGAGATTTTTCCAGAGGCTTGTTTGGAATAATTAAACATAGGGAGTATTTTACACCCTCTTTGCTTTTCTACCAAAGAAGGGGCAAAAACAGGCGAGTCTGTGCACATTACACTCAGGTGTGCCTGAGTTTTCAATTAAACATTATTGTGAAGACATTTCAGATGTAAGAACTAAGCAGCATTTTGTCTTGAATTATCATACTGATTGCTCAATTAACAAGCGAGAGTGAATGTGAGTCAGAGTGTGCTGTTGGATGGCTTTATCAGGTGAATGCTTCTTCTTTGATTATTACAAACTAAAGCAGAAATTACCATGATGTTTTCCCTCCATATCTGAGCAGAGAATCATTCAAGTTACTTACTCATGTGATTGATGAATGAGATGTGTAATATGCTGTTCTTCATCAATTTTTTCCCCGATTCAAGAACATCAGATGAAAAGCATAAATGTAAAATTATATGTTTGTTTTTGGTTATTATAACCACTAAGAAAGCATAGTGTCCCTCTTGAACTCCACAAAACCAGACCAAAGCCACTAGGGGTGTAACGGACCACTGTTGATCCGTAATTCGTAAGGATCACAACCCACGGTTCGAAACACGTGGCCTATGGATTAATGTTTTTTTACTGGTATTAATCCAAAATTTGTAACAATCACAGAGAGATCGCCTTTCGCATCATTCAAATCACATGTATGAAAGCATTTAAGCTTTCCTGTAAAATACAATAATGACGAAAGAAATTTTGGTTGGGATGTGGTGGGTTAGGTTATTAAAGGGGTTTTCTGTCAATCCTTGTTTAATCTCCATTAATTCATTCAGTGTAAGTTGCACGATTAATTATTAAAAGATCGGGATCAACAATTTCTCAACATAAGCTATAAATAATAGGTATTTACAAATGATTATTAATCTTAAGAGATTAGGTGTTTAGTCTTTTGAGTAAGGCCTAAAGTTACAAACAGTCAGATAACACAGAAGTATTGGGATAACAGTTTATAGATAAAACCACTGATGTTTATGGTAAAGATTAAAATCACCGACATATGCATTTAATGACGTTAAAAGAAGTTGTAAAATGTTGTGAAAGTGGTAGGAAGCAATCAGCCATCCAAATTATGCCACTGAAAAATTCTTCAAAAATGATACACCTAACAACGAAACATGAAGTTTTATGAGTGAATAACGGAATCATTTATTGACAATGAGACAAAAAATAAATATGGGTTGTACAAATTATGTTAGATTTATACATTTAACGTCATCAGCAACAATAACAGTGATTTTTTATTTTTATTTAGCTTGTTATTCCTTCATTTAAAAAAAAAATAAATAAAATTACAGGTTCTAAGTTCTGTTTGTTAAAACCAAAAGCGTCGTGCAGTACTCTCCTCTTTTTGGCTGATCCGAAAAATCGTCCACTTTTGACTATAAACCATAATATTATCCAAATAATAAGATTTGTGATCTGTTACACCACTAAAAGCCACAGTATCATTAGAAAACATTGTTTGCACAAACAATACATAAAGTATCTTTATTTTTATGCATTATATATGAAATTATCAAAGGCAGCATTCACTGCATTTAAGCATTCAAGTTTTATAAGTTATATTACAGAATATAATGAAAATAATTTCTTAAATTGTCCTAATCCAGCAGTTCAGCACAACAAAGCTAAAATATAAACCATACTGTGATTGTACTAAAATAATTCAATCGCAGTATTAGGTTTTAAAGTCTTTGAAAATAAGGGAAATACATGTAGATGGATCAAAAATACAAATTCAAAATACAGATACAAAAATACATTCATGCATGATTCTGAAATTTGCTATTTAAATGTGTTTTGCTTTTTTAAAACTAGCAGACACATTAAATATTAAAATGCCCCCATACATCCAGACAGTGGGAGCCCTGGTTTACAAAATGAAAGGTGTTGAGGGAATTAATTAAAATAAGAAATTTTATAGCAGTATTCACCTTGATTTTTAGTTGCCTTTAGCTTATTTAATTTTTTAAAATCACCTTGTTTGATTCATGTGTTTGCAGCTTCTACTGTACAATGCATATCAAGTCATTTTGAGTATGTTAAAGTTTGCTGAGGGCATATTTGAGAACAAAAATTTAACCTTAAAATAAATGTTTGTGCATTTATAGAAGCTAAAGCCTGTTCATTTTTGTTTTTCAAAATAATGGCATCCCCAAATATCCCTAAAAGGAAATTTATGTCAGCTTTATCTGACCTTTGGGGACACATTAGCTCCCAAACTACAGCTAAGCAAACCCACACACGCTCGAATTTAGAAAAAGAGACGGAGAAAGTGCGCATGATAGATCATACACTTCCTCTCTTCCATGCTTTCTGCCAGATGCCCTGCTATTGTGATTTGGGCAGTCAAACCCCATGGTGCCTGGGCACTTCCTATTTGCCAGTAAACATAAATAGACACTGATATATTGAGATAGATAGCAGACTGTGTGTTGAGCACAAATTTAAGAGAGCAACACAATAAAAAGCCCACGGGCAGCAGCACTCACACGGCACACCTGTGATAAATACCACTCTAAAAATGACATATTCCTGCAATTATGCAGGGGGAAATTGGGTCAGAGCAATCCATAACATTTCAAAGCTCATCTGGGTTACTATACACACACACAAGTGCACTCTCAACAAATAAAAACATCATACTAAACCATCTCGCCAATATAAGCACAATAAACACGTCAAATTGCTGCTTATTCAGATAATGATGCCATATTCCATCTTCTGCCGGCTAAACAGCATATTTGCAACTAATTTGAGTGATACAATATCGGATTCATTAACAATTCATGCACAGACAGCGCACAGCTATACTTCTCTTTTTCGCCATGGTAAAAGGTTCAAATATTAATGATTTATTTGCTTAGATTTGAAAAGTATGTTGCGAGGGAAACGCATCGAGTGGTTATAAATATCCCCAAAACCATTTTTCCACA